GAATGATTCGGCGTAAAATATATTTGGTTTCCAAGGAATAATCGAGCTTAAAAGTTTGGGGGAAAGTACCACAGACAGAAACCCTCACCACATGTACAGGTCCTGCTTCTTCTTTGCCTCGAAAAAGAGGCACTTGTTGCAATTTTTGATTTCACACACCTGAAAAGCACACAGACGTCAGGCTATGCTGCGAGACGAGAGGAATTCTGCTCTTCACACAGACTTACCTCATTAACAACAAACAGCTTGTCCTTCCTGTCCATTTTGGTATCTGGTACAGAACGTTGTGTTAGTTAATCTTGGCATTCAGGCGTTGCCATCACTAGAGAACTCTGAATGCCTCAACACTGACCTGCTTTTGAATGAGGCATCATGGTCCTCAGGTCTCCCATCAGGTGCCTGGTTCTGAAGTTGATTCCTCTTGAAGAGAAGATAAGAACTCTTTCCTTGTTGGTCCATTTGCCCTGTTTAGGAAAGATTATCCCACAATATCAAACTAGTTGCAGGAAAAGCAGATGGACACGGAGTGCCACTGGCAACTTTAAAACCACACTGATTGAAAACTACAAGCTGCATGTCTGTTAGCAATCTGGCATATGAACTAATTATTCAGCTAATGGGAGTTTTTATTCCATCAATAATACATTTATACACCGTCAAAGATCTTTTTTTGGAAATCATATAGGGCCTTTCTATAAAGGATCAAACTCACAGAATATGGCCTGAATAATGTTAAAATTGTCTTTCCATTGTGGGGAACTTTAAATCGTGAAAGCAGCTGACGATTTGTGCATTCATATAAATGTCTCCCAATGCAACACCATTGCCAAATTAATATAACGTCATTGATAACGATTTCATTCACTCCCAACATATCATGGAGAATGAAGAAATCTAAAAAACGCATTTTTAATCGCTTGTTTTTGGTATCTGTTACTTTTCACAACTTTGTTTAACGGAACACCTTCTGTCGATACGGTCACTTGTGTTATATGTCTGTAGTGGTTTATTAAACGCTAAAGTCTTCTATTAATACCATTAATCACCTTCTTTAACAAATAAAAATGGATTCTACATGAGAGCTGGTGCTAGCTTAATGGCTAATAACAAGGCTAATCACTTACCATAGAAACCGGAGGTGGGACAGTAACTTCATTTTGTGTCTCCTGCTCGGTTTCAGGCGGAATTTCGCCTTTATCTACAACAAATTTACCCTTTTTCCCCTTTTTGTCCGAGGCTCCATCTCCTCCACGTTTTCTTTTGAACGCAGCCATGCTTGTACAAGACCTTCTTCTTCTTCTACTTTTTGTAAACGATGGATGGCAAACAGCGTAACAGAGCAGTACCGCCACCAACTGGCTTGTCCAAGACATGGGACTGGCAAAAACCCAAATATCGCGTGAATCACCGACAATCAGTTCACTCTTGTATTTAAACCCCCAGCGGAGCGAAAAATGGCTCCGTACCAGTCTGCACTCAGACTTCGCATTTAAACAAGCTGACAGCAACTTTCAGACTTTATGTTTTGACCTTACAGCTAATGAGATCATAACAAGGGTGGTTTTAAATTATAATAGAGCGTGTCTTTAGAAATATCAAATTTTAAGCTAATTATGGAGACAAATGGACCCAACAAGTTCTAATGATGGATATACTCTGTTGTCCTCTTTTTTGTGTGTTTTGTCCTTTTTGTACATTTATCTTTTATTTCTCATTAAATACAAATATGTTTAGGTGCCCAGATCCAAAGTGAATATTTTGCATATGTCTAAAGGATCAAAAGTTTTATTATCTCCCATTAAAAAAAAACAATAACAAAAAAACAAAAAAAAAAACATTTGATTAACTGAAGCAACTGCCACTCTGCAGTGATTTTAAAAGTATTCATACACCTTGATTTTTTTTGTATGTTAAAACCTTTTGGGGATTTTAAAGATATAGTCGTTCCGACCTTTCCTTCGGTGGAATGGTGTGAAATGTCACGAAAGTCCAACTGTACAGTTTGAGTTTCGCTCAAATCAGAGTTTCGCTCAAAGCACCCGCTAGATGTCACTATGAACGCAGACACAGAACGCTGGTTTCATTGACACGGAGTATTGCAACAAATCTCTCTCTCTCTGTATATGTTTCACACACACACACACATGTATGTGTGCGATTACATGTAATCAACTCATCAAACATTTTTCAACATGTTTGAAAAATGTTAACATAAAGAAACATTTCAAATGTGTGAAAAATTGAAACAAAGTCAAAGTGGGGGGCAGGGGGGGCAACATGTATTTGTATATCATTGCTCTGGATATGAAAAACATGCTATTATGGGCTTCAACAAAGCCGCTTGTGTTCAAATGTTTGCTGACACTCACAGGGCAGACACAGTGAGACTTTTAAATCAATGTCAAGAGCAGATGGCCATATTATGTAACATTATTGCAACTGAGTAGAACTGAAAACGGGAGGGGGAGTGATTTCCTGGGCAATCCCGATAGAGAGCCACCAGTTAGTCTGCCTAAAAGTAGATTACTCACAGATAGCGGGATTTATTTAAGATGCTGTATTAACATGAATACTGGTGGCTCCTTGTTCACAAATAATACTGGACAGTCCACGGCAAATGCAACAAACTTTTGAGTATTCTTTCACTGAAAAAGCGGCTGCATGTGCATGAAGAGGCCTCTCCTTTTAAAAAAAGGAAGTAAAGTGAATCAGTATAGTGGAAAAACAACAGCAGTATTGCAACAAGTGCTCTCCATGTGCACTTGCTTCACTTTTAAGTAGGCAGACCTTGGCTTGGCCAGTCCATACTACACTGTGCATGTCTCCAGAAACTTCCATTCCCCTTCGTTGGAAGTGTTCAGCAATAATGCACATGTGTGCATTTGCGTCAGTGCCCGCCCATGAAAATCTGTTGAGGAGTGTTTTTCCAGAGATTGAACACAATAAGCTCTGAGGAAGTTTCATGCGACAGACAATAATCGGATGCAAAGATCCCTGAAGGAATCTGCCTCCGTATCTCCTCCCCGTGCCCTCCAAAGCAGTGTTGGAGTTTCCTTGGAAACAAAATGCACCTCGACATTGTTTACTTTTGCATGAGCAATGTCTATGTCTGAGAGCGGGGTACTTTAGTTCCCAGAAAAATAAAACAACCGTGTATCTTCCATTTTGAAAGGCCCCATCTTTCTTTTTTCATCACACAGAGACAGGTAGAGTGAGCTCTTAAAAAAATACTCTTCAGTTTACACATTTATGAAAACGTATAGAAAAGAGAGTCAAGGACAGGTTTTCTGCACAGACCTAATATACCGTACTTGGAGACCAAACTATCTTTATAGCTCTCTGCGAGAGGAAAGAGGAAAAAGGATAAAAAGTGATTTACAGCACATCATTCAGATGTTCATGGTGCGTTTTACAATATTTGTTCATACTCAGAGCGACCAAAAGTTACTAAGGTAGCGCCAAGAAGGCACCGTGTGTTGTCCCCCCCCCCTTCCCCCCAGAGGAGACGTGACTATTTTTGTTTTGCATGCAGAGAAAGCCAGGATCTTGCGGCATAAAGACGGCAGCCTTTTCTTCGGTCATAATGGGCATAATTGCAGCACAGGCAAATTGTCTTGGTTTACCACAGGGGAGCATTTTAAAGTGTGTTTTCCTTTCTGATACCAACGTGGACGCCTGTTCCCTGATAGGACAACAGATAGGGAGCGTGTTTACATTTTTTAAAGACTGCAATGAAACGCCACTCCTTCCCAAAAACCACATAAAAAAAAAACATATAAAATGCTGGTGTTTATTTTCTTCATCATCATCACTTGCAACCCGATTCCACATGGTAACATGTATTAGTTATTATCACGGATACCTGTGCAACATGGTAGGCAAGTTGCATTCGTTTCCTGGAAGCTCACTCTGAGGTTAACCCAAGCCTTTATGTTTGGAGGTTTCAGGATTATGGTGACATTTCCTAGATCACCTAGATCACAATCACATTGGCTCCCAAGATACCTTAAACTGAACCTTAAACTATGGTTTCATCTTAGAATATGACCCATGGGAAATTGCTCGTTTTATATGGAGAGACATACGTTGATAAGAGTGCAAAGAGGTTCCAAGACCAAACATCGGTAAGATTTTACCATAGCAACAATGAAAAAATAGATAACGCAAAAGAGAAAAAAAAAAACAATGTGCATTTTTACATATCTACAATCAGACAAACGATATGATGATGAGACGTGAATAAACTAACATGGCTGCTCAGCAGGTTGAAGAAGAGATAATGTATTTATAATATAAATTTATATTAATATTAATATTACTTAAATATAAATCTGAATATGTAAAGGTCATGTTGATACAACAATCATCACATTGCCTTTTGATTTTGTTCTGAGGTTGATACAGAAATTCTGCACCAAAACATGTTAAAACATATCCTGAAAAATTTGATTGTTGCATATTTTCGTATTTAGACTTGGATGTTAGTGAAAGTGGCAAGTTCGGTCATCTGGAGTGGCTCCAAGGAACAGATCAGACGTATCGAAGTCCACAGTTCTCTTTCTGACAGCTTGGCTGAATTACTTAGATTATTTTTGTTTTCCAAAGACGCCACTCAACTATACAATGTGTTTGATGTTATCTTTAAAAACATGCACAGGTGTTCCTCCCTCTCTGAACGTTACACAACCCTTGCATGACCATTTTTACCTATTCAAATTGTTTAAAGGTAGAGTCATCTTAGTTTATTTAACGTTTTGACTTTAAGATGATGAAAAAAACCCAGTAATTATTATTCCATTAAGCAAATAAATACTTTTGTTAATTCTAACTGACCCCTATTATTCTTATTAAATGTATCTGAAACATGAAATAACAGAAAATAGTCTCAGAGACACGTCAAAAACCAGATCTATGTAATCCCCAGGTATCGTTTTTAAACGGACAACAAAACTCGTTGAGCCAGTCTTCGATTTATCTGTGGCAAACTGAGCGGTGGGCGGGGTTTGGAGGCTACGCTCCCTCCTCGGTGCCATCCCCACCCTCCTCTGGTCCGTCAGGGCGCGGGGAGAGTGCCAGTCGCGCTTCCTTTCCAGACGGGACGAGCGTGTTGAGCGGTTCCCACGGTTCGGTGGAGCGTGTGCGCACCTCGCCAGCTTTCCAAGGAAAGCAGGTAAAAGTTGCTCGGTTTTCACAGGAGTCACTTCAGCGAAGGCGCAAGTGAGAGAGAGAGAGAGAGAGAGAGAGAGAGAGACGCTGATACACCTGTCGCCTGCCGGTAAACTCCCCTCACTTCTATTTTTTTATTTTTTTTGTGTGATTGTTATGAAATGGTTAGGAGAGAATATTAAAAATGTCTTTTGTCTTAGAGTCTGAATTGAAAAAAATAAAAATAAAAAAAGAATGTGATTTTCACTTCGTTTATTGTGCAGAAATTAGGACGAGGATGCAGCGAATCAGTTTTTTCTTACCTGGGTTGCTCTTTCTGTTTTTAACGGACTTAAGCCAGGTCAGGAAGAAGTGGCAGAAGTTCTCAACCTTTATAGGTCCAGGTTGATCATCTCAATACGGGATTACACTGTTAGTTGCCTGCAGCTTACTGACTCTCTCCGCTTCAAGTCAGACACGGAGGCTTTAATTAACTTCAGCTCATTGCTGCTGTCATGGCCAGGACGTTTACGCCGCACTGCCTCTGATCAGGCGCTTTAAAACTCGTAAAGGAGTACATGTTGAAAAGTCAGCATAGTTTTATTTAACCCTTTATTTACTTGAAAGACACAACCAGTAAAAACTTAGTCATTAAATGTTAATAACATCGAATACAACAGGCTAATTTCATGCCAAAGCAAGGGCACAGCAGTCTAACTATTATCAGTGAAAGGTCAGTAAAGACCCAGCCCTTATCAAATGACAGGTATTGCATTCTTGGCTGTAAATTCACCTTCAAGCTTCTGTTCTCAATGTAAAGAATGGAGTGGTCAGTATGGTGTCAATATTTTTATTGGCACATGTTGACTGGCACCACGGTTGCATCATTAAAGTTGTTGCTGTTTTCTTCACGGAAGTGTCAAATGGTGACCTAATAGAATTTTTTCGCTTCAACTAATGAATAAATGTACATTTTTGTCCCTCCCTCTGGATGTCCAACACCATCTGGACTTGGGGTTGAGATGTCTGTAACCCCCAACAATCGGTATACGGGCACAAGCCTCGAGCCACATTAAAAAGTCCCAGTAGATCCGCCTACCTCGGATCCACATTCAGAAATTTAACATTTATGCAGATTTATATTTCTATGCCTAAACCCTGTGTCAGATAAATGAGCATAAATGTCAGACTAATGTGTCCTCTTTAGAAAACAGCTGAACTAATATTGTTTCTTTCTCAAACAGTTGCCGGTGTAGGAGAAGTGGCCCATAAATTTAGCTGCCGCTCTTATCTCGCAAACCTATGTCTTGACTTTGAGCTGACACAAGATAAGTGGGATCATTAGGGCTGCAGCGAGGGAAGGGTGTGTGCATGCGTGTGCGTGTGTGTGTGTTGTCCTTGAAGCTGTTTTTCCATGTTGAAACTGTCAGATGTAAGTTAGGTTGGGCAAGAAAAGGTAGCAAGTGACATTTCACAGCCACACATACTCAAGCAGGACAATCTGTGTAGCAGACAAGGGGCAATGCTATATGTTTTAAACATTTACATTGAACAAGTTTGTTGACCCCTTTGTGCATATTTTAAAATTTTTGCCCATATGTTGTACTTGTAGTAAAGGTTTTGTGCATATATAATTATGTTTGTTCATACCAGAGTTGTCATTCCTAAAGTATATGTGCCTTTTATCAAGCAGAATATTGAAAATGTGTATACCTGAATATATAATTTAACAGTTAACTTCAGTCATTAATTATTTTCATGTAACCTGCATCGCTTGATCGGCCAGAGACCAGAGACGGTCTCTGTCCTCATTTTCACCCTTTCATTAAATGCATCAGACTTAAAATCTATCACTATTTTTTTGGTGTACAAATACATCAACCACCAGCATGTGCTTTGATGCACAGTTTATATATTTCAGTACAAGTGTGATTAAGATTTGGTACAAGTATTTAAATTTCTTCACGTCCTATTTTAGTCGGCAGCTCATTTGTTCTCCTTTAACTGAATCGTTGCATCTTCAGTTTTTAGGCACATCGATGAAATTCATATTTTAACTTAAACATAAACGTGAGATCTGTCCAAAATATTTCAAGTAAAGCTCACTGCACACCCTACAGTCTGAGGTTAACACAGAACTAAAATCAACAATTCGTATACAGACTTAACCCTAAGTTTTAGGCAATTCAGATTATATCATAGCCCAAGGATTAGTTAGTCCAGCTTCCTTGTAACCAGAATCCCTTTATACCTTTTGATTCTGCATTCTGTGGCTTCCCAACCCTGACTGCCCGTATGATGGTGAAAAAAAAAAATATATATATTCCTAGAAATCTATTTGTGCTGCTGTTCAAACTGGTTTTTTTTACAATACTAGGAAGTGCTAAGTTTGTTCCAGTCTGAGCAGGGTTTCAGGTCAAGCTTATGATACGAGGGAAGTTTCAGCAATTTCTGGTACCTGTTATTCCCCATGCCAAGATACCTGTATGCACTTCGCAATCAGAATCACGAAATGGATTGTAGCGTACGTTCGCAGGTAAATGGTTAAAAAGACGAGGAGCTGTTGCCATAACGAACCACGTTTCAGTCGTGCCAAACCTGCTGGACCACATCATCTTTGCTCTTTCTGTGTTTAAATACTCTTCAGTACCAGGAAACTGAGAGGCTGTTCTTTTCCCCAGCTTTTAAAGAAAGTATTACCAAGAACTCAAATGGTCTCTTTACCTTTTCTTCTTTTTTTATATTTATCCAACTAAGCTCAAGTTAATGTAAAACTGAGATACATAAATGAGCCGTAAATCATTCAGGATATATTGCACACTCCTCTGGTTGTTCTCGTAACCTTTTGGAAACTAGAAACAGGTTCGTGGAAAGAGGAATGCCGTAAACTCAGCTGTGTCGGTCAGGCCTCCTGAGAATGCTTTGACTGTTCATCAGAGAAAAACTTTTTGTACAACATGATCCACACAAAGGTGTGCTATTTAAATGTATGTCTGCCACCAGGTGACACCTCTCTCTGCTCACAGTTGCCCTCGGCACGCCATTTGATACATCCTCTTCTCACCTTCTGAACTTGAGAGGAAAGAGGAGGACTCGGCTCATGAATGATTCACCCGAAATCTGAATGTAGGTGTTAGTCTTCTGGGCCGCGTCTTTTGTTTGCCGTGTTCTTTATAAGAGAACAGGTAACATAATTGGCATTGTTTATCCGAGTGTTTCCTGCACATCATGGGGAAAAAAAAAACACACAAAAGTTCTAATTTATTAGGCAGAAAGAAGAAATACATCTTAAACAACTTACTGGTAGTGTAAAGAACATTTCACATATAGTTCAGTTTATAGCTGGCAACTTCAGTCCATCCACATGCCGTGCAGACACACACGCAGGTGCATGTTGCACCGAGCACATGTGGGTTGCGCATTCTGTTGCTTGGTTATCACTTTCTCATGTGTACGGTTGCTCTCAGCAGAGATGATGTGTTTCGGGATGCAATTTAATGCTAACAAGCAGAAGCTAAGAGAGGCGGAAAAACATTTTTAATGAAGCAAAATTCAAAGGCGCTCCAAGTTGAAAACTCAAAGGCAGAAATCGGGAATAATTCAAACAAAACCAGGAAGGGCTGAGCCTAACAAGAACTGGATGAAAGACAAGGTGAAAAATGATTTGCCTCCTTAGGGATTCCTTATGTTTTTGCTTTTTTGTCACACTGAAGTGTCGCTGGTTGTGAAACAGATTTTAATGCCAAACAAATATGTTTAAAAACAAAAAGGCAGTTAACAACTCATTTTATTTATTTAGGGGTGAAGCTATGCAAAGTAATCTGGTTCTGTGTGGAAAAGATAGACTCTTTGTTAAGTCATAAATTAATGCTGGTAATCCACTTTTTTTGTTGTTGAATTTTACTAACCACACTCTGCCTGGTCACTGCCGTATCTATAGGATCAAGAAGCCAGTTAAACAGACAGCTCGGACCAGGTTAAAAGATCTGAAAAAGAAACAAAGAGTGATCCGATGTGAGAAAATTCAAGAAGAGATGAAAAACAAAGCCATTGACATCAGTCTGTCTGGGAAGCATTGGAAAGCTTTGTCTAACTTTGGTAATGCACAGTGAGAGCCAGTATTTACTCGTGGAGAAAAGATGGAACGTAGGTGAAACTTTTGAAGAGAGGCATGCATCGGTGACTCATTCAGGTGGTCACAAAAGAACCCAAATTAGCATCGTAAGCACTTGTTTAAGCACTCTGTTAAGTGTTCATGAATAGACAACAAGAAGAATGACATCAATGCAATAGTTAAATGGTGACAAACCCCTGCTGACCAAAAGTGACAGAAAGGCCCATACTACATTTTCCAAAACAGACCATTATGACCTCTACGACTTTTTGGAAAACAATCTGTGGACTGTCGAGACAAATATGAAACTGTTTGGAAGGTGTGTGTTCAGTTAGAAATGAGATAAAATTCACACTGCTTTGCAGAAAAAAATATCAATATACTGGCAAGACATGGTGGTAATAGCGTAATGGTCTAGGGCTGCTTTACTGCTGTAGGTCCTGGATTACTGACTTTATTGATGGAACTATAAATTCTACTTAGCAGAAACCCTTCAGAGCTTTCTGATAGAAAATCTGCCATCAGTTTGCACAAAAGCACTTAGATTTAGCAGCCAGGTAATAATCCAGAGCATACCAGAAAGTCTACCACTGTATAGCTAAAGATATATTAATTAAGGTTTTGGGGTGTCCTAGTCAGGATCTGAACTTAATACTGATTGAGATTATGTGATATGATCAGAAAGCGGCTGTGCGTGTTTTAAAACCCTCTGATAAGGGTGAGCTAAAGCATTTCTGACAGGAAGCTTAAGCCTAAATTACTGTGATTGAAGAAGCAAAGCATGAAAAGTGCACAGCCATATCATATAAACTGTGCATCATCTCTGGATTTAGGGAAAAAGCTTTGCTGCAATGGGCAGCAGCTTATGTCCCACGGTCTCGGCTACTGGTTATGTAAGAGGGCTATATGTAGCAGGAGGCTAATCCGATGCCTTGATCTTAATGCCAATTATCAGATCATGGTGGCGTTCCTGAAATGAACGCCACCTATACATGAGCTGGATATGGTTCATGTTCTAAGGTTCTGAAAGCCAGACAAGGTGTCTCCAGAATGAATGTGTAAATGTAAAAGTTTCAGATATATGTTGAGAAACACTGCGGCCATTGCACAAGCTAGACTTAAGCTAGTAGTTTGGCAGAGGCTCTGTGTGACAACACATGCCCAGGCAGCCACATCCCTGAGTATTATTGCAGCACATTATTAATGTAGAATTTACCTGCAGGCACACATAGTGCTGTAGTTTGCAGGCAGATCCTTGGCATTTAGATCAGTCGTGGAGTAAGTCGCAGCATGTTGAAGATCGCCCGTTTCAGACTATTTCGCTCCGCAATGTGTTTACATTCCAGCGGTAGACAAAACTATTTTTTTTTTCTATTACTGCACTGTAAAACTTCTATGTCGGAAATACAAGCACTTTCCTAGAAAATCTATCTCCTAAGAACAGTTTGTGAGAGACACAGATAATAAGTAGCAATAAAGTAAAAAAGGGAAAACAAATGCGAGTAGAGACTTTTTTACACAGTCTTGCAAAAGTAGCCCCACGTCTGAGATTTTTCCACGTTTTGTTATAGTAGGACCACATTACAGTCATACATGGCGTTTAGGTTTAATGTTAGACCAGCACAAAGCGGATCATGCTAGGGAAGTGGAAAGGAAATGAGCCACACTTTTTGCAGTTTATTATTATCATAAATTAACCCTTTAAAAGGGTTTCAAGCATATTTACCCAGCGCTATTCACACTGATAGGGCTGACTAATCAGTCCTATCAGTGGTATGATGACTCAGTCAATTCAACATACCAAAAGAGTTTGTTGCAGCTTCAAATCCACCAAATCTACCTATAGACCAGACAGGTCAGAGATACAGTGGAGGAGAATTTTAAAGCAGGGTTAGGTAAAACCACATTATAGCGACGAACACATCAGGAAGCGTCGTTCCACCCATCTTTCAAACTGAGCTTGACAAAAGAGACCTACTTTGGGTGTTCACATAAATTGACAGGCTGGACAAAGAGAGCAGTAAAGTGGAAGCAGAAGTGATCTACAACTCAGGGGAGACTTTGATGAAAGAACAACTATCACTCCAAAGCTTAAGTCTTTGTGGCAATCCTAAACATTTACCCAGAGCTACAATGGAGTGGCTTAGATCAAAACAGAATGGCCCAGTCAAAGTTCATTTCTAAATCTAATCAATAATGTGTGGCAAAACTTGATAATTGACAGTCGCCCAGTCTGACTGAGTTTAAGGTATTTTGTAAAAAAAAAAAAAAAAAAAAAAAGAATGGGCAAAAATGACAGTCTCTAGACATGGCAAATTTTAGAGGCACAACCCAAAAGACTTTCACTTGTACCTGCTGTACAGAATATTGACCTGCATGACGATATGTGTTTTCATAAAATATCTGAAAATATTTATAATGTTCCTTCCACTTTACGGTCATGTTCAGCTTTTTTGCTGATAGTAAACTCATATAAAATCTCCTAGCATTAAACGAAAGGTAATAGTAAAAATGTAAAAAGCAGTTGAATGTATTTATACATGGATTGTTCTGGAATATTTCAACATTAAATGTGAGAATCTGATCAGCAGTAATGCTAACCTAGTGCTATATGTTTGTATGAGTCAAATAAAAAACAAATGTTACTCAGTTAACACAAAAAAAAAAACAACAACAAAAAACAAGAAAATGGGGAGAAAAGACCCACCTGAGGGTATCTGTGTGAATCCAGGGCTGGAGTACATTATTATAAAGCACTGCAGTGGCATGCTTTGGGAAACCACAGGCACTCCTATATTTAAATGTCCTACCTCCATGTTTTCAGCATGCTCATTAGTTGTGCTTTGGAGTGTGCGTGCTGAACAGCATGTACGGAAAGGAAGTTTTTCTTCCGTATTCTGTCATGTTGGTTGAACAGTGGAAACGGGCATTGAGTGCACTCAGTTTCAGAGCCAAATCAACATCACAATAAATTGCATACAAATTCATGTTTTTTTTGTTGTTGTTTTTGTTGTTTTTTTAAATTAAGAATTGTCACTCTCTTTAATCAAAACTACAGCAACAGGATGGCCTTTGAAATAAAAACCATAATTTGCATGTATGTTGCACTGTCCTGCTAGGTGCAAGAAAATAGGAAGATGACCGACGTGGGGGGGGGGAAAAATCCCTAAAGAGGGCAGTTTTGTTTTACATTTTGTTTGCATAGACATCCATAGCACTTCAGGGGAAGTTCATTTGCAAATGTTTGCAATGAACAAAAGAACGCCCCTCTGTTGTCTCCAAGAAGGTGCTGCGCTGAAGGTGCCCAGCATTTAATGCTAGTTTTAGGCAACAACATTTGAGAGTATTTCTTTCCAGCTATTTTCCTGTTTCTCCTTATAGTCCTCTTGTATTCCTCCTTTAATCAGTAATTTGAATTTAGGGGCACAGAGTGGAATCGAAGACATCTGCCCGTAGCTAGGCAGATGTGGGAAGTCTAGACAGTTGCGGGTAATGGCAATCCAGCCTTCTGCTGTTATGGAGCCCTAGCCCAGGTTATGCAATCAGTTACGCTGCCTGTACCAGCTGGTCGAGGTAGTCAGAAACTGAGAGAATGTGTGTGGGTGTCTGTTTTTAAATCTTTAGTTAGAGAGTCAACAAGATGTAAAAAACACGTTTAGTTTTTTTTCTCACTTGCTTTCCTTTATTCAGTTTTTCTCCTCCTTGCCCTCTGTGTTGGGTTGAATGTTAACAGCTTTTCGCTGCACAAATGCTTTCTGAGTAAATGTTTGACATCTTCTCTCTGTAGTAAAGCACCAAGTATTTGATGTTTTTTTTTTCCCTTCTGCTCACTTGTGCCATATCTTTTCTTGCGTTTTTTTGTTGTTCCTTTATTTATTTATATGTTCCTTTTATTATTTACGTTCCTTTATTTACATTATTACAGCATGCTGGATTTTCATGTCAGACAGATTGCGCCAGCAGCAGATAAACAGCGATTTTCTTCCTGTCCCATCGTGAATGTTATGGGTCAGGTGATGGGTCAAGTGCCCGTATCAGCCAGTCTGCCACGCTCACCTGTCTTTGTTTGTGTGTTTTTTTTGCTCAATCCCACAGCAAAGGCTTTGTGGTGCCACGATGAAGAAGGTTGGGGAAGTTGTTCTGCTGTGGCTGTTGATATTATTTATCCACAATGCAGCAGGAGAGGGTAAGTTCGCCATTGGATTTGCCCTTAGATTAACCCCAGCTTCTAAACACCTTCAAGGCTTTTTAAGTTATGGATAAGCAGAATACGAACCAATTCAGAATCGTCTTTTCATAGATTCAGAATCCGTATTCACAACAGTAAAATGAAATGATACTGGTTCTTTGTTTTTTTCTCCGAAGCCTGTTAATGAAATCTATTATCCAGCAGGTAATGTGTTCGTGTTCAGTTGCTCCTGCACTTCATTGTGTGGGAGGGATTAATGACCCTAATGAACCAGCTCGTTAGTTAAATCTGATTGGAACTTCTGCGTCCAAAAATAATATCTGCATGTTTTCAGCATGTTCATTTTGTTGAATGAGGGTTCATTTGGGAAAAAAAAAAGATCGCTCCTGTTCTTGCCTTATGTATGTGTTTTTAATTAGTTTGGTTTATTTATTTTACACCCATTCACAGCAAATTATTGTAAGTCATTTTACAAGACAAACAGATCCCATCCAGAAATGTATAATCAAATCAATCCAATGCAATCTGGTCTCATAAACGAATTGAAATTCAATTACGTTGTTTCTCAAAATAATGAGCGAGTGTGTGTCAACAGGGCAATGATTGATTGGATCGAATCATCCCTCATTCTTTCCATGGAAACACCTTTTAGCAGCTTGTTTGAAAGGACAAAGCAGCAAATGTACAGATAACGCCTAAGTATTGATCAAAGAATACTTTCAATATTAAAAACATGGTTCCTACACAGTCTGGAAAAGTCTAGTTAAAAATGAAATTTCAGTTAATCCATCCTTCCTGATCAGAGCTATTGGCATCAGCAGTTTAAGAGGGAAACACGACTAAACAGATGAGTATACATTTTGCCCAAGGAAACTTTTCAGGAAAATCTTTTCTCGGTTTTTAAATACGGAAAAGAACAGAAAGGAGGCTATTGATGGCTAAAATAAGATCCAGGAACTTTTTTTCCCCATCTATCTGTAACATTAATTCCCTTTTTTGTGTGTTTTAAATGATCACAAAGGGAAAAAGACAGGTGTTTGTATTCAGCTAGACTTAAACAGAGTTCCAGCAGTTTATGCTAATGAGCGAAGACATCTGAAATGTGCCTCAAGGTTGACTGGCTGTTGAAACAAGAAACAGGATCCAACACTAAATAATTAACTTGTAAATAACTGCTCATAAATTACATTAATGACCATTATTTTATTTTTTATTTTTTTACAAATGAATTTATTTGTTTTATTTATTTGTCTTTAGGATACAGCCCACCAGGGAAGCCAACAAATATCAGTTGTCGCTCTCCAGAAAAAGAGACCTTCACCTGCTGGTGGAAGCCAGGCTCTGACGGTGGGCTTCCAACCACCTACGCCTTGTACTACCGCAAAGAAGGGTAAGTTGCTTCCTGGGAGGGGTAACTAGATCTAGTGATATTAAAAAACCTCCAGATATCTCATCAAAGTGAAGTCTGTCTCGATCCTGTTCCCGTCAGCAGGTGTCCTTGCCTAATGAATTGTTAATATTTCTATGTGCTGTTTATGGTGGCATGTGCTAAAGGCTTGACACTGCTAATGCCTAAAGTCGCTGCTAATGAGAGGTTTGCTGTCTATCCAAACCTTCCTGTTGGTATTAATCTAACGGGTTGTTGCATGTTTTTGATCCTCTTCTGATTTCCCTTAGTTCAAATTTCAAGATGCTGTGATCAAACCGAAAAAGATTATCCTTCACTCGACAGAGATTTTTCAAAACACAGTTTTAGATTAATGGAGCCTCTGTTCACCAAGTGAAGCATTTTCAAACTACCAAAACTATTGGTATGATTGAGATTATTTTTTCCACAGCTTGTTAGAATAGGACATTGTATACTAGCTTTAATACAGCCCTGACTACTCTTCTCAATTTAAATGGGTTGGACAACTCCAGGTGTGAACAGGGACTGCATTCCACTTCTGCTCTTGTTCTAACTGGTTTGGTCGGTAGAGCAGAATCAAAAACAGAACATCCTTTAAGTGTAATGCACCCTTTATCTTGAATGCCTGTCTTTTTTCTTCTTCTCCTTCTTTTTCCAAAAGGTCTGCCATGAAGTAGGACTCTGCTGTGTTTTTATTGTATCACTTTACAGATGTGGGTAAAACTGATAGGATTATTTGCTGTCTAAAGGAATTTTGCTCATCATGGTTCAATATTGAATGTAAATTACACAATGAAACATGTACCACAGATGGCGTTTTCTTTTTATCTGCTGTTGTTCAGCTGAGGAAAGCAGAGCAAAAAAGGTGCAGAAAAGAAAGAGTGAAGCTTTTTTAGAAGAGACCTGTTTAATCATGTCTAGACTGAGATCTTCCACTCAGTGGAAGATACTATTCACTCAAAGACACTATTGTGCAAGTTCCTATTTAATAACAGCACATACATGCTTGAAGCAGATGGAGAAAGGCTTAGGAATGCTCATCATTTTCATTCCTTTCTGACATGCTGGATATTAAGAAGAAATGGTACATGTGTGCATGTTTCTGAGCGAGATCTAGCGATACAACTCTGTTTTATCTAAATCACGTCATATGGACAAAATAACAGAAATTAGTGCAGCTTTTGGCTTCTTTAAGTTTTACTTTAAGGGGTATCCATTTCTAGCAGTGTTTGCTATAAGACCTGTGAATCATTGTTTGTGTTCACCCAGGATAATACAGAGCTTTGCGGTGTTAATCAGACCCCTGCGACTTCTTTGGCATTCTTTCACATTTCAGCTAAACACTTTAATGTATCCTACAATGATTTGATTTGATAGACTAACACAAAATATTGCATAGCTTGAAGACATGTTATTTATTTATTTATTTCTTTATTTATTTATTTATTTATTTATTTATTTATTTTTTTTTTAAGATAAAAATCCCTAAAAGTCTTTTGGTGTATGTCTCTATCAGCTACGAACATATACAGAATCCATGTTGTACCTATTTTCAAGCACAATTAGACGTGAATGAGGATGCATTTCACCTGCTACCCTCTGTGTGAACCACAGAGTGGAAACCTCATAATGTGAATCACTGAGGGCAGCAGACTGGCGTAAGAGGATAAAGATTGTAAAGGGTTATGTGACACTGCCTGTTCCTGTGAAGGTGGAGTTTAAAACGTGAGTAGGGTTGATAAGGAGCCAACACAGATGTGGAAAAGGAGAGGATGCAGCGGATTAGTTTTTGTTTATAGCCTAATCCACTCAGCTGAGACACATGTCGATAAGACAAATGGGGACTGAAAATCGCAGCAAGTGAATGTTTGATAGCAGAAGTAAACTCTAATTCAGAGAAAAAGTACTGATAGTTTGAGTGGACGGAAATGTTGGTTTTCATTGTGTCTGTAAATATGAAGCTACAGTGAAGTTGATTTAGCTAAATATTACTACCTTAAACGTGTAGTTCAGAGTTTCTAAAGTGATCTGCAGTTGGTAGCTCCCCTTATTTATTATAGGTTCACATTAGGTTGGGTCCTGAGGCTAAGGCTAATAGCTAAACCAGGAGGGACCAATACCAAAGCAACCATCTGCCATTAAAACGACTCCAGTCTTAAAAACATATTTTTCTGAAGGCACTCTGAACCTCTTAGCAGTGTTTGTGACTTCATTAGAAGGTTATTCACAAAGGTAATAATAGTTGATTACACAGTAAATAGAGGTAAGAAGCAGAGTGCCACCAGTGTCTTGTGTGAAATGCACACTGAGAACAAAACACAGAAAGCATTTCCCTGTCTAATAGTAGAAATGTTCTGGGGGATTAGTTCAATGGCACTACATTGGTTTTTCCCACCCTGTTAATAATCTTTTGTCCAGTTACTCTGACTGGAAAAGCTGTACTTGTTTTTTCTCAGTGCATGTTTGATACATTAATCCCGTTGGTGACATTTCTCCTCCTGAGAAAAATAATCCAGAAAATAATGTTTTCAATAACTTCTGTAATGATTTTTTTTTTAGAGTTGGTTGTGTCAAGACGGTGAAAGTCTTCACCTCTCTCAGAGCAGTAATTAGTTTCAGCTTCAGCTAGACCAACTAATTAGAATATGTATTAAATTAACACACCTAGCAAATTATCCACTACAGATAAGATATTAACTGCTTCTAACCTTTTGAGATAACATTGCTGTAATAATTCAAGGCTATCTCTTTGAAGTGACAGTGTAGCTTCAAGATCCTGCTATCTTCAGCTGTACAGTAGTGCAGCAGATAACGCCACAAATGTTTTATGAAAAAAAAAAAGCATCGTAGACCTCTCATTTATTTATTTGTTCATTTTAACACAGCCTCTTTGCTGAGTCAGGGTTTATCCCCTAAAAATCTTAAAGGGATTATATTATTTGACTATTGACAAGAAAGCAATTGTTTTGACAGAAGTGCAGAGACTTGTTCCTCTTTATAGTCACTTTTCCGTGGAACTCCGTTTCTGCATGATTTTTGCAGAAATTAAGAAAGGAGAAATGAAACTCTAATAACAGGTCTGCGAGACCCTGGATCTCTTTGTGGTGAAATTTATGGCATCTGTGGCTGAATTGTGATTCAGGGAAAGTGCTGCTACATTGGACCACTTATGGTGACAGCTCTGTTAGGAATATCTGTTCTCCTTCTGATACTCGTTAAATCCAGCCAGCCGTATTAGAGACATGGCCTGAGACCTGAATGCACCTTATTTACTGGCATCATTTTTTATGATGAAACTAAAATTGAAGCGTATCAGACTGTGAAGTGCATCATTCCCCCACTAACTGGTGTAATTGAGTTTCCTTCACCAGCCGTCTCTGCCCACAAATTTGAGTTCCTGCCTTCGGATGTTGCGTTAATATTTACCCCATGATGTTTTTTGTTTATGTTGTAATATTTCTTATGACAGTCCTTCCTGCAGCAAAACATCTCGACAACATGAGCCTTTCACTCCTGCACTTCACAGTCTGATACGCTTCAATTTTAGTTTCATCTGACCACGTGACTTGTCTCCAAAAATGAAGGCCTCTAAGCTTCCTCACAAAGTCTGCCGCTTCTGTTCTAGGGTGACCAGCAAGTTATTTGCTCATGTAGGATTATTTCCATGCCATATTATTCATACTGCTCATGTTACAGCAATAATTACCATTCACTTAAATAACGCACCCCCCTGTGATACAGCAGAGCACACCATTTTTCTCCAACAGACTGAAAAACTTGGTGAACATGTGCTAAATTGATTCAGACTATCAGACATATGCTAAGGCACAACTGATAAATGGAAACCCACAGAGCTCAGCAACAGGCCATCCTCTACTCAATAACCATTTATGTAAGCTGGGTGAACTGTTTGAAGTACACTTGATTTGCCTCGTCCATGCTACGACTTTTAGCTGTTTAGCACAGCAGGGAATTCACAGCTGAATTGATTGTGTCCTTTGTACTCAAATAAAAGTGGTGGCCTTCTTTTAATCATCTGCCTGGCAGTGCAAAGCAGCAGGTGGTGGAGGGGCAGTATTGTGATGCTCTACATCCCAAGAAAACTTTGGTCACTCTGACATTTTCTGACATCTAGGAACTGTCTGTAACTTTTAAAATCTTTGTTATATCTTGAAATTGCATGCATGCCCTGGTCTACTTCCACACCTCAGTATTGCTCAAACTGAAAATGGCTGTCATATATTTTTGGATCCAATCCAAAAAGCCTTCCTTAAGACACAGTTGGTTGTAAACAAAACCTTTGATGGTTATTTTTGTCTGTGATTCAAATGTGTTGACAAGGAAATGTTGCTTACAATAAACTATTTTATTGGCATCAAAGCAATAAAACCTATGGAAACTTGGTCCGTAGTCCATCATAAATCAATATAATGAAATTTCATTGTGACACGCACGGTCTGGTGTATATTTTCAAACGACAATAAACATTCTAATTAATTTCCCAATTTATTATTGAGTCTAACAAGTGTATACTTTATTATGCGGAAGATAAAAAAACACTCCTTTTTTAATTCAAGTGTAGTTTCATGTAAAACACACGCAAGGAAGAGCTTGGGAATTTCATCGCAAAACTTTAAAACGAGGTTCATTTAGATCAGCAGCGAAGCGAGAGCATTGCATCCTGAAAGTTACAACATCACAACGATTCCCCCCCTCAGTCAGTGGCAGCTGCTGCTACAGCAACAACAGTATGTTCCCATCTGTTTCATACCAATTCTCAAGGCTATACTCATTTACCCACCACACATCCAATGGGGTTTTGCCTGCAGTGGTTGCTGAGGGTCCATTATATTATCAAAAGTATTATTTTCATAAACAAAATACCCTACACACAAGGTAACATCACTGCACAACAAGAAGATTGTTGAGTGTGCCAGAAAATTTGGAATAATTAGTAATTCTTTGAATTCATTAGTTGTCCATGTTTCTCCTGTTGTTGTTATTAATGGTTCTTCCTCCTTTCAGTAATTCTGTTCGCCATTGAGAAGAAAATAATTTCTCAATTCATCCTTGAATCATCCACTCAGCCGAGACACACGTCTCAGCTGAGTTGATGAGCTGATGTATCCTCTCAAAATACATCTTTTTTTTTTTTTTTTTACAAAAATTGTAGCGTAAAAAACACACCGTGTTCTTGCTATTTTCCTGCACCGTGTCTCAAATCACACAACTGCATGATGTTTTCCTTCTCCTCAACAGCTCTCAGAGGGTGTTCGAGTGTCCTGACTACAAAACGGCCGGCAAGAACTCTTGCTTCTTCAGCAAGAATGTGACGTTCGTCTGGGTGAACTACAACATCACCGTTGTGGCGACCAACTCGAGGGGAAGAGCATTTTCCGATCCCGTTGACATAGATGTCGTCTACATCGGTGAGGGGAAAGTGGCAAAGGTTCAGCGTGACACAACTCCTTGAGAGAATTTTAGCAGAAAACATATTTTTTTTGACAGAACAGCAGAACAGTGTTGTTTAGTGTACTGTGAAAAATTGTAGTTGTTATATCTGTAAGCTATCGGCTGCCAGTCAGCTTTGGAAAACAATCCTATAATATAAATGAAAAGCAATCAGCTTCTTCTCTCCATCTTCTTCATTGCTAATATCACAATTTTTTAATAAAAAGTCTGACCTTTCCAGAGGTTTGAAAATTGTTCCCTTTTTCAAGTTGGTAATGGAAGAGACTTATGCCTGACTAAGCTGGAGTATATTTTTGTCTTGGCTTTAGAGGATCTGTAAGTGCTCCACTTATCCTTTTCATCAGAATGTTGCAATGATTGAATATCAGGCCTAATTAGTATCAGCGTCTTTCACTAACCTCAGCCCTCAGCCTTGTCTATTTTTGCAGTAGGTTTATAATTTGAAGTCTTAATAATTGTTCTTGCACCCAGCTCAAAGTGGTCAGAGCTAGAATGTTAGAGTTCCTCAGCTGGACCTGTCCATATATTTCCACATCTGGAGTGAAGGGCGCGTGATTATTTACTAAAAACCGTTATGATTTCTTGTCATTCCTTATTGGGTCTCATCAGATCTGTTAATCACGTGCTCTCTTTCCGTTCTCTTCCCCCAGTCAAGCCCAATCCTCCGGAAGAAGTGGTAGTGAATGTCACAGAGGACAAAGACTGGCCTTTTCTTCAAGTGTCATGGAAACCCCCGAAAATGGCTGACACCCGCTCGGGTTGGATCACTCTCTTCTACGAGGTCCGACTTAAGTTGGAAAATAAGAATAAATGGGAGGTGAGTAAACCACTGCCGGTGAGATGGAATGGCCTGGTGGTTTGAGAATTTGTCTTCCAAATGTGAAACTTTGCATTTGGCTCCATGTCAGAGGACTCGCTGATATGTCACAAAGCCATGGTTTGATTCTCAAATCCCAATACCACCTAAAGTCCACATATTGAAGATGGCTTTAGTTTACTGACCTGACTCATGTGTTTCATTTCCAGGTGGTCTCTGCAGGCCAGAGGAAGACTCTTCAGATTTACAGCCTGAGGTCAGGTGGGACTTATGAGGTTCAGGTTCGCTGTAAGCCTGATCATGGCTTTTGGAGTGAATGGAGCCCCTCATCCCGTGTCAAAGTTCCTGAATGTAAGTCCTTCGCACACAAATAACCGTACGACTGTCTAAATACAGTTGACACTGTACAACTGTATTTAGAAGATAAAATCCGCTTTTGCATTTTAAAAAAAAAAAAAAAAAAAAGCCAATCATTTTGTTGGTCAAAAGTTCACCTGCAACAGCTTGTGCATCCTCATGTTACTTCACAGTTATGAAACTTTGTGTTGGCCCATCCCAGTAAGATAAAGTAAAACACACTGACGTTTGTGATCGTAAGATTGCAGAACGTGGAAAGACAATTATATTCATGTAGATCCCAGAAGCTTGACTGAAGCAATCGAGACATTATTTCAGGTTTCTCAGCATCTGTCATCGTGAACGTAGACTATTTTTTTTATGAAGAAACAAAAACTTAAACTTGGAGGAATGCATGTTTCACTATTCTGTGGTCAGAGTGGATTTAACCTTTCCACCTGGTTTTTGTGTGGATTCAGTAAAAAATGTGTTAATTAGTAATACAGAGAGCTGTGAGAGGATTTGTTTTTAATGCCATGCTCCCATTTTGCAACCCATAAGCTCAGTTACCCTGTCCTCACACACACAAGCAAGTGATTACCTATAAGGAAAACTGAATTACTATGTGCTTAATTCACATTTCTTCACCGTGTTCTAGTGGAACAATGAACCTTGAGGCATAAAAGGAACTTGAGAGAAGAGAAGAAAATGCTACATTAATAAATTTACATGTTCTAAGACTGTCATTATTCTTCTGTTTCATTCAGATTTTCCACAGGAAAGGTCAATGTGGATCCTTATTGTGGTCTTTGCTGCCTTCATCCTCATCATCTTTATTAGGATGGTATACATGAACTTTCATAGGTAAGAGTAAAAATTTTTAAGTAAATTGTAAGTATTAGACATTAAACACAGACAATGTCTGTGTGTGTGTGTGTGTCTGTGTGTGTGTGTGTGCGCGTGCGTGCGTGCGTGTGTGTGTGTGTGTAAATATAAATAAATAGAAAAGAATGGTGAATGTTGATTGTTATTACCTTGCTAACTTTTTGTGCATGCAGTGTGAAGCGCTACCTTCTGCCACCAGTGCCAGGACCTAAGATCAAGGGAATTGACAAACAGTTTCTCAAGGTAAACCAGAGCTTTTTGACTAAAGATGTGCTGAATGCTAAATAATGCATGTTAAAGTAGCTATTTGAATCATGACGTCTTTGTAACAAGATACTTCTTTACGTGCAGAGTGGCAAATCTGAGGACATCTTCAGCTCACTGGTGGTGTCTGATTTTCCCCCAACCACATCCAACTATGAGGACTTTCTTGTGCAATACCTAGAGGTGTATGTCCCAGAGGAGCGTGAACTAATCATGAATGAAGGCAAAGATCTTCAAGACGATAGCTTCAAAACTGAAAACTCCACATGTGACAATGACTCTGGCCGGGGCAGCTGTGACAGCCACACACTGCTTACCGATAAGGGCGGAGGTGACAAAGAAGATGGGCAGCAGTCAGATCAGGAGGGTAGTCAGGCTGAGGCTGACACAAAAAGTCAGGAGGAAGCCCTGGAGGAGGAACTCCTGGCATGTTCTCATGAAAATCTGCAGAGTTCAAATGTTTCCAATGAGAAGGAGAAGGTGAAGAGCTGGCCTTCTTTGTTTTCTCCACTGCCTCAGTACAGTTTTAGCCCAGTGAATCGACCAAACCCACCTAAGACGGGGAAACAACACTGTCTCTCTGACAGCTTGTTCACCCCAAACTCCATGCCGTCTTACTTCACTCAGCCTGGCCCCAGCACCACAAAAGGCTTTAGATCAAATTACTGGGAGTGTAGCTTCGACCACAAGCAATCTCATCCACTCCATCCCCAGTCAGCAGCCCATGAGCACCTCCAGGCCCAGAATGACCTCAATACGGCACATGTCGACTACATGGGAGCGCCGTTGGATGTTCATGTGCTCAATGTCAGGCCCTCCGAATATGTCGAAGTCCAGAGGGTCAGCGTTGAGGATGGGGTTCTTCTTCACCCCGTTTCCCCCAGCCAGGAAGACAGCCGTACCTTAAGCCACCAAACAGAGGACTACAGCAGGGTGAGGGTGGTGAACAATGATAATGGGTTACTACTTCTTCAGAGAGATGCTATTGAGGAAGAGAAGAGCATGTGCCCTTATCAAGAAGATGTAGTAAGCAGAGCATCCATCACTCCCACTTTGCAGAACTCTGCGACTGGTATTAACATCGCCTTGCCAATTCTTGACGAAATGGCAGCCAGTGGTTACATCGACACTGCCATCATGTTTGGCCTGCCCACTCACTAGGTGCTTTGGATATCAATCTGGCAGCTGCCAGACATTGTAAGCGGTTCACTTTAAGCTTAGGAACTGAAAACAAGGAGAAAAACCACACCGACAAAGATTGCATCTTTCCAGAATTGGTTGCAAAGACAATTTTGCTTTCATGGAAATATTTTTTTTTTTACCTTTTCCTGTCAAGGTGAAACACTGATATTTAAGAGCCACAATTTTTCAGATGATTAAACCGTATAATCGTCATTCAGATTAATTAAGAATAAAATGTATCTTAATTTGAGGTACTACATGTTTCTATGTTGATTCTATGTTTCTATGTTGATTATACTGCAAGCCGTTATTTTACCTCTAAAATATATTGTAAGGCTACATGTTGTACATATTACAAATATAAGACTATATATATATATATGTATACAAAGAACTCCTGAACACTTGACCCAAGGCATTTAAGTTTCTCCTTGCTGTACAGCTCCAGTTACCCCTGAGGGAAGGGTCTGCGCAAATTAATGCAAAGAATGTTTTATTCTATTTTCTTTGCTGCTGTTAAATATTATGTTAAAATATGCATATAAACATGATGTAAATCACATTATGTGCTCTTCACTGTCACCAGCTCTCAACACAGATAACAGTGTGAAATATTTGGCTGAAATGTATAAAAGTTTGTATTGGAACATCCCAAAAAAAAAAAAAAATGATAAAAGAGGCAATGTCTTTTGGAATATGTGGCTTCCATTCCTTAAATGGACATTAAGATATGAAGAGATTTATTTTAAGATGTTTTATTTTGGTTTGTATATGTGTTTTGATATGTGTGTGTGAGTGCGTGTGTGTGTTTGAACATTAAACATGAAGCTAAAAAAGAAAACAAGCAAGAATTTACTGAGGTATTCGTCACTCAGAGCAGATTATGTACATTTACCGAGTTGTAGTTTTTGATGGGAAACTTGTGGCATAAATGTGGATCCTTTTGTATAACACTGTGCACTGTCCTTGTGGGGAAAGCTACACTTGTGGTGAACATATTTGCAATACATAAGAAACAGCCATCAAGTTATGTTTAAAAGCTTGTTTTAAAAGTTGAGTTTATAATAAAATTACTTCATACTGTAGTGATATGTGGTTTATTTTCTTTTTACCTTTATACTAACATGAAGATGTATTACATACAATTTTTTTTAATTACTGTCAAGTTATATAATTATAGAGAGAAGAGTGGCTGCCTTACATTTTTATGTAACTATATATTTTTCAGATTTAGATGTGATTCATCTTTTTTAACCACTCTTTTTTTACAGGTGGAATTAATGAACTAAAGAGATTAACAATTTTAATAAAAAATAACCCATACTTGCACAACTCTTAATATGCTTTATGCATCTGTTCTATCTTGATTATATAACGTTTTGTAAAAGTCAGAAAACTTCTTGATTAATTCTGGCTGAATGGCTGGAATCTAACTATTGTTTCACCTGCTGTTGGTGCGTTTGAGTCAGATGTGATCGCTTTTTTTTTTTTTTTTTAATTTTTTGATCTTGAAAACGCATAATGTCGACGATCAAGTGGGAATGGGGGCCAACCTAGGTGGTTTATAGGATTTTCTGCTGCGCTCCTGCACGCCCACACCTCTCAGTACGTCGGAAGACGAAAGGAACCATTGGCGAAGCGGAGCCAGTCTACGCCTACCGTGAAGAGAGATAGAGAAAACAAACAAAAAACATAAGTACCGTGGTCTGGGAAAAAGTTGAACAGAGTGCATCCTCTGGGGCCTGTTCAACATGCTAAAAGTTGTATCTTGTGCGAGTGGCCGTTGGGCAGGTTTTACGGGACATCCCATCTATCGGCCCCAACTTTCGGCTAAAATCCACCTGGCGAGCGGTGAGTTAACGCGGAGACTTTATCAAATCCGGATCAAACGAGTTCGTAGCTGTTGCTGCAGTGCAGACAGCTGTCTTCACAGGATATGCCATGTTGTTTTTGTCATGCTAAGGTAATGCAGAGGGCAACACTTGTCAAGCTTTACTCTATGTTTGTCCGTTTTGTTATTTGAACCACCAGAACTCGACTGGCATCATAAGCAGATAAAAACCCCATCATACGCACCTGAAATCAAGCGAGTATATAAAATAGCTAAGTATGCCACTATATTGAGTTGACCATACTAACACTTAATCCAGTTTGAGAGAAGCTAAAATGTAATCACTTCGCATAATATAAATGCATAAAAACTGGCATCAAACTGGATTGATTTCTTCAAATGTAAAACTGCACAAATCTCAATATATTTATAAACTCCTTTTAAATAATAGTAAAAGGAATAATTTATTTTAATTACTTTAATCCAAGAAGAAAGCGATTTCTTCTTGGAAATTAATTTCCAATAATAAAAGAACATTTTTGGATTTTAAAGTTCAGTAGACAGGAAATATTTGATCATGTCTTGCCATGTGAAAAAAAAACCCTTATATTATTTATCTGCTACATTTATACAGCAGGCAAGGAGAGCAAATCTAAAAATAAATAAATAAAAATAACATTATTAGGATAAGAAGATGTGGTTGAGCTGTGGAGATTCACAACTGTCCAATGTTGATCCACAGCTCAACTGGAAGCATTTGTCTGGTACTGCACAATTCTGGCATTCTGGCACCAACTTAAAAAAAAAAAAAAAAAAAAAAAAGAAACATCTTCATTTTCAAAACATTTTAAAAACCACATGTTCTTTCCCTTCCTCCTTACTTTGTATTGGCTTATGATCGGGGCTGGGCAATAAATCAAAAACATGTGATGTAGACAACATCACCAGTTTGCCAGTATTTCAAACAATAACAAATCAATAATTACCAATATTGACTGACATGAAACCCTTTTTCAGCCATATCCGCCATAACGTAAAACCACAATAGCATACATTGTAGTTTGTGGTTGCTACTTGACAGAATATATTAAGTTCATAAATTTTTATTTTACAGGTGCATCATGTCAGAAATCAGACTTGAGATTCTCTCACACAGATATACCAGAGATGCCTTCTTGCAATTTTACTCCAGAGGAATATAAGGTACAAGCCAAACTCTGTAGACACACAGCAGATCAACCTTAGACAATTATGTCTTATTGTATTATGTAAGAACAAAGCTAACTGTCCAAGTGACAAAATCTTTTCATGGTAAAACAAAAAAATATATATTTCATTCACACCTCCAGTCTCAAGTGCCACTGATATGCACACACAGTCTTGTACTTTGAAAATCCAAGAACACATAAAATGAAATGAAATACAATGTTCCTTTTGAAGTTATGTTTTACATCATGTGCCTCTCCAGGGAATGTCAAAAGCAAGAATGATAGAGATCCGCAAACAGAACTGCAACCCCATGACCATGAAAGTTACATACTATAAGAAACCAGTGTTCATCCATCAGGGGCACATGCAGTATCTGTGGGATGTGGATGGGACCAGATATCTGGATCTGTTTGCTGGTGTGGCCACTGTCAGTGTGGGCCACTGCCACCCGTAAGGTCGTTTTGTGTGTCTATGTGAAGCAGGAATTATGTTTTTGTTTGTTCACTTTTTAGTGTATTTATAGCTAATTGTTGATATCTGTGTGTGCAGGAAAGTAACTGCTGCTGCTGAAAAGCAGCTGAAAAAACTTTGGCATACCACTTTCATTTACGTCTACCCTGCTCTCCAAGAGTACTGCGAAAAACTTGCCTCCTATTTGCCCGATCCTCTTAAGGTAGGGTGGTGTATTTTTAGACTAGTCGTGGGTATGTATATTTATGCTGTAGTTGAAATGTATGCTGGTCTGTTTCCTTGGGCAGGTGGTTATTCTGACAAACAGCGGCTCTGAAGCAAATGACCTTGCAATGTTTATGGCTCGTCTCTACACTGGAAATTTTGACATAATCACTTTCAGGTCCAACATTTCGTACATTTTCTTAGAATAGAAATAGCCAATGGTTAAAAAAAAATATATATATATATATTGCAAACAAGAACAATTGTTTGCAATTGTTCTTGCAAACAATTGCAATTCTGAGATAAACATGTACAAAGTGCTCATAGTGTTTGTGTGTTTTTCAGAGGATCATATCATGGTGGCAGCCCGATGGCCATGGGTCTTACATCCAATGCAGCATACAAATACCCTGTTGCCAATGGTTTAGGTTGTACAAATGTATGTATAACAGCAGCATGTCTAAATAAAAGCAGTCATGCATTCACGGTTCTGTCCCTCCTGTGGCAATGCTTTCAAGATCTGTGATGTCATATTTATTATACACCTTTATGTTTTAATAAGACTATATTGTTTTACTGTAAACAACATACCCTCTAATATAAGTTGATAAGATAGCTTTGGCAAGGAATCATTTCAAGTTGCTATTCTTGTAGAGAGCTAAAGTGTGGGAACATTAGTGCCTAAGTGAAACATGCTGTTGTGGTGGAGGATTTCATTTAGTCTCCTCCATGAAATGGAAATGATAAATAGGTACATCTCCATACACTGAAAAGTTTATTTCTTTCAGTAATTCAATTGAAAGAGTGAAAAATATGCATTTATTTCACACAGTGGGGCTTTCAATACTTTGTTTCAAACACTTTTTTGTTATCAGACAGTGAAAACCTACGAAAATAGAAAACGCTATTAAAGGAATCGGGTTAGATCAATCTGGCTCTAAGTTAAAAACTAACCAGCCGGTTTAAAGGGGCATAAAAACCAGTTGCGTCACACTGGCAAGCAGTTACTGGTGACAAGTCTTTTACATTGCGGTAGAGGGATTGTGGCGAACTCTTCTGTGGAGGCATTTTCTGAATCAGACACATTTTAAGGATTTTTGCAAGAATTGTTTTTCAGTTCAAGCCACTCCAAAACCTTCAATTTATTTTTGTTAACATTCTGAGGTTGATAGTTTTAGATCCCTATCGTGTTTCATAACAAAAATCAGGTGAGCTGAAGTGATGGCTATTGTCCTTCAGGATGTTCTGGGAAAAAAAGCAGTGTACATAGTTGCTAAATTATGGTATTTTGTCCATGTCTTGAAGAAACAAAACAGCCCTGGAACGTATTTAATGTACTGAGATGTACTCACAGAGACGTGTATATTTTTTTTTTTACATTCGTTTCAGTTTTTATTATTCAAATATGTCAAACATTATTGACTATAATTGCATTTCATATTTAATACTTTAATTACCTCTCTTTCAGTTTTATAGTTTAAATTATTTTCTACTTCTTTATTATGTAAGAATTTCTGTTTTTGCCACTTTAACCC